ACTCGTTGTTTCGTGGTCAGGCGACTACGCTGCTCTCCTCCTCCTCGAGCAAGAAGAAACCCCTCTGCATTCCAGTTTTCCGATATTAATCTGTGAATTGCGAGTTTCACCGAGGCTCCTGCGGTCCTGCTCACCAATTTTCGTTCGTTTCGCTGATTGACCGATTGGTCTTTTCTTTTTGTTTCTTGTTACAAAGGAGCGGATATTTTGATAAACGTGGGGCTGCGTCGGCGGCTGTTTGCGAAGTTGAAACAGGAAGCAGGAAGTTCGTACGACGATGATGCGGAGTACAGAATATACGAATAATAATGCGGTAATGTAAATTTGATGAGGGAGTATGAATGATAAGTAGCTGTACGATATGCAGAGTGCGAATAACAGTGTAAATAGTGTAAGAGTATAATAGTAACAGTCTAAAAGAATAAACATAATGTAAATAAAAGTACGTATAAATGCTAATGTAATAATGAAATGTAAATGGTGAATAATACAGAGTGTAAATGAGAGTATTTATAAGTACTGATATAATAATATATATAATATATTATTATATAATTATATATAATAATATACAATACTTATACTCTTACTATATAATAATATATAACACTTATACTCTTACTATTATATAATTATATATTATTATATATAATTATATAATAGTAAGAGTATAAAAGAATAAATATAATGTAAATAAAAGTACGTATAAATGCTAATATAATAATGAAATATAAATAGTGAATAATATAAATGAAAGTATTTACAAGTACTAATATAATAATATATATAGATATAAATATAATAAAAAAGTATAAATAATAAATAATAGTATAATACAGAGTATAAATAATAATATAGTACAAAATATAATTACATAATAATAGTAATAATAATAATAATTATTATTATTATATAAAATAATAATAATATAGTACAAAATATAGAACAAATATCAGGTTATTACAAATGAATTGGAGAAATTAATGATGTGAGTTTCAACGTTTCTCTTGAAAATAATATCAACTCACTTGTAATACTGAAATACAGCGAATTGAAAAGGTATCGACACAGTCTTCGATTAAATTAAACAATATTAAATTAAAGTAAATTAAATTAAAGTAAAGTATGTTTTGAAACATTTCTTTACATGCTTAAGATAAGTACAAAAATATTAACAAGTTTCTGTGTTCCCTGATGTATTTTAATATGCAGAACAATACTTTTCGTTTGTAGAAAATTTCGCTTAAATTTCTTTCACTTTGTGTAATAATTTCTGAATTCCAGCCTTTGTGTTAAATCCTATGGAACCGTGAGTCACTATTATATCAGTGGACATGGTTTATTTTTTTCTGATATGGGACTGTAATACTTTTTCAATCTCCTGAATGTCACCGAACGTTTAACTTTAAATATACAGGGTGTTCTGTAACATCGTGCTTGCAAAATGGGAATATTTCACGAGGGATTGATTTTATACAGAAGAATGTTCGTACAAAGATTGTTTAGTATGAATCGTTTCATTTTTCGAAAGAATTAAATAAGGATAATTTCAATTAGAATTGTAGTAAAATCGACTCGTCTAAATATTTCCTGTCACCTTATTTACATCTGAAGAAACATTTCACCTTAATTCTGTGACAAACACTCTAATAATATCATACGGATCGTTTCAATTTTATCCGCAAAAAGACAAGGAAACGTCAGCGACATTTGAAATTAAATTTCAAATTAAAATTTAAGTGAAAGCACCTGCAAAGGCGACGAGTTTCTCGACACAAGAGTATATGAAATATCTTGTATAGGATTTATTCTAAATCTTCTTTTATTTATTAGCTTTATTATTATATCTTCTTTCCTTCTGACTTCAATCCTTCGTATTTAGATTGTAAATTATTTGCTCAGTTTACGCTGTTCGTAAACAGAACACCCTGTAGATGAAATATTTTGCCACTTGTCTCTATTGTACACATATGTTCAATATTTACGTCGTTTTTTTCTATATATTTTTCGGTCGTATGTCGCGCGATATGAGGTCGTATATATAATAGCTATCGAGATCATAGCCGTGCGTTCGTTGCGTAGGAGTTCGTACGTCTTGATTCGTTATTTGAGAAATGTTGCAGAGATAACAGAGACAATGATAGCATGATTAACAAGTGACAGTGATGAGTGAAAAAAGAGATCGTATCGTCGAGAGTAAAAATGTCGATGAAAAACTTTAATTGCGGAGAACTGAACGTGCGGAATATTTTTTATTACAGGCAAGTGAAAATGTTCTCGAAATGTTGTCGAAAAAAATTCGAAAACTTTTTAACAATTGTTGGCTTTTGTTGTTACGTATAATATTTAAATTTTTAAGGTTTATTGTATATCTCGTTATTAATATCGTTGCATTGTGTATCTTGATATTAATATTAATTTTTATTTATTTGTCTAAATCAACTAAGGAAATAATATAAACGAAAGTGACAACAATGAAATAACAATGAAAAATAGTAAATACAACAATGACCGTATAAATATAAAAGAAACGACATTGTGTCATGTCTGTATTATGTATTTTATTTATATTTAATCTAATATATTAAAAAAAATTATTGTATATTGTCAAATTTAATTTTGATATTTTTAATATATATATAACTTTTTTTTCAATAAATTTAATATTACTTTATTCTATATTTGAATCTAGTTTTATTAGCAATTTTTTATATAATTAGAAATTGAGGATATAGTGAATTTCATTTTTTTTCATATATATATTCATATTCGTATTATTATCACGTTATGTTACAACAATATATATATATTCGTAACAAATATATACATTTGTTATTACATATGTTTATATATTATTATATTGTAACAATACAGATGGATATATTTTATAATATATTATCACAATATAATATAGAATATATCCACATATATTATATATATTATTACAACATATACGACATGAATATATATATAATTCGTATATATTATTATAATGCGCTATTACACGCGTTAGCATTTCCTAGACAGCTACGTAACTATCGTCTAATCGATTAAACGACAATAAATCCCTATTTCGAAAGAAACACCGAAGCGAACAGGAGCTGAATAATCGTCCGGCGGCGATAGAATTCGAGAATATCGCGTAGGCGGCTACGGTTCGGCTAATCAATGACTCCATTGTGCATCGAAGCTTCTCTATGGCCCTTGTTCGATGACTTACACTCCATTGATAGCCATCGTCCGATCGCCAGACTACAGTTCAACGAGGATACAGTCAGTCGATCGATTGTCAGGACGCGTTCTGTCTCTGCACGATGCCTTTCGAGCATCGGATGCACGAGAATCGCGCGAGTAGCTTGCTTAACGATCAGAATCAACGGTTTTTGCAAATTTTCAGGCAACTTTTAGCTCGGAAACCGAGCCGAATTCGAACGGACCGTCGAAACTGTACGAAAATTAATTTTACAATTATTATCATAGATATAAATAATTAATAATTTAATTAAATAAATTATTAATATATATATAATTAATTATATGATAAATAAATTATAATTACAATTAGTGATAAATACAAATTAATTTCAATAATTATTGTTTAATAATTCAGACAAGAAATAAGAAGTGAATAAGAATGAATGAATAAGAAAATTTTACTTGAATGTGGAGTTTAATCTTCCAATTTCAAAATTTATACTTTCTAATACTTCTTTTTTTCTCTTAATTAGACTGTTATTCCCAGGTTTTTTGACCACCTAGATCACTTTATTAATTCCAATAGTTTCATATAATTAATAAAATAATTAATAAATATAATTTTGTCATTTGTATTTGTAATATTATTTAAATTAATTATAGAACGATTAATAGGACATTTATTATATTGAGTTTAATTTCAATCAATTATGATAATCGATCGTCAGACTGCTTAACTGCTCACCCACTGACGATTTCGTCGTGGAAAGTAGCTGAGTAATTCGATTTGACCTTCAACGATTGCTTCTGTCGCCTCTGGAGGTGATGGCACTAATTCTGTACACTAAACTGTTGAACTAAACTAACTCTGACTGGCTACGAATTGACTACAATTGCGACTGAGAACTCTCCATCACTGGATCCTACTGTGTTGTGTCTGAGTGACGAAAGGAAGAGATTAAATCATAAAGCAAGGAACACGTAATTAACACTTAATCTACGATCTTATAATATATATATATATATATAACGTTTTCAGTTTTCAAGTTCCCTCTTAAAGCATGAAAAGCGTGCACGTCGAGAATTTTTTCTTCCAAAATTGTAACGTTTATGCGGCAATTTATGTTTATACTTGCAAAGCAGATAAACAAATATTATTACTTCTCAATAAGTTCTTTCTCGAAAAGAAAGCGGCGAATTATTGTATGTATTCGTTTGGTCACTCGTTATGGTCCGCAATCAGTTAAAATCGTCACGAGACAGCAAATATTATCCAGAGGAGCTCTAGTCGGTCATTTTTTTTTTTTTTTTTAGAAATCATCCAGTAGTAGTCCGTGTTTACTTTTTGGTTAGGTTTAAGTTACTATTACTTTTGGTTCGTGACAAGAAAAAAAAAAAAAGAACTCCTCGCAAACTCGAAACTAACCGATGACGGTTAGTAAACTGTCTGAACGTGAGCACGTCCGTGTCATAAATAACGCACGGTTGGCCTTGAACACCACAAACAGGAATATATATATATATATATATACACAGGGACGTGTGCTAAAACTGAAAGAAACTAACTGCTCTAAACTGTTGGATTATTCCACCCGTCCCTTAAGCAAGACATTCAATATCTATCCGCATTAATCATCCTCTATATCTATCGATAGTAGCCACAGTGAGAATATTCAGAGTATTCTGAACCCTAAATGTCCAACCAGAATGAGTTTTCCACTCGTTTAACGAGATCTAACGGAGATCAAGAACAAAGCCGTCTTTAACGTCCCTCTAACCTTCGTCTCTCCCCTTTTCGGTTTCAGATCCAGCACCGGAAGCCTGTAACAGCGCGATAGCGTCGAGCGTGTCCGCGGGCGCTGGCGAACTGGCCAACTCCCTGGCGATCACCGCGCTGTCCTCGATCCTGGTGCTGTCGAGAGTGATTTAAAAGCCAAAGTAAGAAAGATCGTTTTACCGTGTCGGACCCTCGTTTCAGGTGTCTTCGGTCTCGTCAAGCTTGTTGTTGCGGCGCTTTCTCGACGGGTCTCTCATCACGTGCACAATCACGATTTTTGAAACGATTTTTTTTTTTTTTTTTTTTTTTTTTTTTGTTATTTAACAATTACGCGGGAAGAATTAACGCTTGTCGGAATTGATCCTGTTGATTTTTGACTGAGGGATTTGTTTTATTTCGGGGTTTGTTGTTGTTATTATTTTGGATTTAGTCTGGTTTAGTCTGGCGGCTTTTCGCAATTTTGGCTATTTTTTTTTTTTTTTGGGGGGGGGGAGAAGCAAGAATCATACAACTCTTTCGACCTGTCACGATTGATTTCTTGTTCTGGTGATGAAATGAACTCTCTTGTCAAAGAAACGGCAGCGAAATAGCCAAAATTGGGAGGAGCCGGTAAACTAGAAATTTACATTATTTTAGTCGATAATATCGTGTAACAGATTGAGTTCGCCACTCGGTGCTGCGTTTTTCAAGATACTGAAAGTTTGTATTATATTAATTTCAATGCAATGAGAGATTGATCTATGAAAAAAAGTGTTAGAAAGAAAAATGATATAATTACTATAATATAGAAATATAATTACTATAAATTTTATCATCATTATTATTATTGTGGATAAATATCATGAAATTGGAAATATATATTAATATTTAAAATACTGAGAAATATTAGTATTACATAATATATAAATAATATAATATTAATATAAAATAATATAATAATATAATATTAATATTTACAATACTGAGAGATATTAGTATTGCATAATATATAAATAATTGTAAATTATACTTATATCAATATATAATATTATGATTTAGTATAAATACGTAATATTTGAAATGATTTGTCACTAAATATTAGACTTATAGTTTGAAACATTTATTAGCATTGAAATATTAATCATTTCAACACGAAGATGTTCTTCAGAGAAAGATATTCTTTAAAATGTTTTTTATAGATAATCACATTCAATTCAAAGAGAGCGTAGAAAATTTCTCGCGGGGAAAGAGAATTCTTCTTCTTTTCATAAAAAGACGAAACCTTCGAAATTTATAAAAACAAAAGGAAACGATGCGAACGAAACTCGTTACACGATCTAATATTATCGAATACTATCTCGACAATGTCAAATTTCTTCGTTATAGTTATATAAATTAAGAGTCATTCTTCAAACTACATAATCATTATTATTAACTCTCGAATAGCCGACGTAAATGAGCCGGCGCCGGGTCACTTTTGACCCGTTGGCTGAATTTTCACTACACTTGCTTTACGCTCTAACCTTTTGATACTATCTAATAATTGATCTTATCTAACAATGTTTATAATATGAGGGAAAGAGGAGTTTGTCTAGAAAATGTAAAATTTTCTAAATTTATTTTTTCATTTACGTGCAATTGTGTTTTATTATACTCTTTGTATATAAATCGTAAGCATTTGGCACATTTGGTGCCATATTTATCATCATTGCCTGTACACATATAGAATCAAGTTCTAGGGTCAACGGTGACCCGGTGCCGGCCACGAGACGATTAATATCGAATTTCGAATCATCGCGAGTCTGAGTCGTCGACGTCGGGTATCGTTCCTTATTTTATTATTTTATAATTATTGATATTCCTCCGGCAGAATCATGCGTGCACGGTGCGATGACAACCCGCCGTGAAAGTATTTGTTAAGCGATTCATACATTCCATATCGTAATTTTTATGCCATGCCCACAAGAGGCGTTCGATCATTTGTTTTCCCACCTTCCAACGTTGAACGCGTGTACGTAAGAAAATGAAATAAACTATAGTATAGTTTTGCAAGTGAAAAGATGAAGAAGTAGATCAATGGAATTCCAACAGTCGGAATTTCAAGGAACCAACGGTGATTCCCGAGCGAATTTCTCGCAGGGATCTTTTGTCGAAGAGTTTCGACAGAGTTTCGAGAAGGGCAGAGATTTTTCAGCAGTCAATTTTGACGAGGCGATTTGTTCGATCGATTTGATGGAGCTTCGAGATAACAGAGATTTCTGAACGAATTTTTCGTGATAAACGACGTGAAATAATATATATATACATAAAATAGTATTTTATAATACAAATAATATTGTATATTTGTTGAAAGAGAGAGTTATACAAATTTTAGAAAATTTGCAACAAGGACATAAAATAATATTATATATATATTATTAAATATTATCGTATATATATATATATATATATATATATATATATATATATATATATATATACATTATTAAATATTATCATATATATTATACAAATATATAATATTGTATATTTGTTAAAAGAGAGAGTTATACAAATTTTAGAAAATTTGCAACAAGGACATAAAATAATATTATATATATAAATATACATAAAATATTATATATATTATTAAATATTATATATATATATATTATAATACAAATATATAATATTGTATATTTGTTAAAAAAGAGAGTTATACGAATTTTAGAAAATTTGCAACAAGGACATAAAATAATATTATATATATATATTATTAAATATTATCATATATATATATATATATATATATTGAAACAAGGACAGTACGAGATATACAGATCGACGACCTTGAACTCTCATTTAAAAATGGCCTTAATATTTAGAAAGAAGTTTCTTGAAAGAGAAGACGACAGTTAGGAAATTTTTTTAGAAAAGTTAGAAGAGATTTTTAGGAAATTCGTAGAGGTTTCTTTGTCGACGATAAACTGCATGATAACCGATAACTCTCATTTAGAAAACAAAATAATTTCTTCTTACGGCTAAATATGGATCCTTCGAAATTTGAAACGAATGCAGTTTTCATTTTGACAAGTTTTTTTTTTTTTTGATACGATAAAAATATACGGGTGATTTCGTTTGATTGAAACACCCTGTATATATAGTCAGACGAGATAGAATACCACGCGTCGGAAAAGTAGGAAATGAATTTTAATAATTGAATTAATTTCCCGGAAATTTGTTTCCAATTTTCCTTTCTCTTTCAATTGCAACGTCAATGCAGTCGATCGATGCTCAATGTTAAACATAATGAGATGCTTGTTAAAGCAGAGATACTTCATTTCTCGGAAAACGGAGCGAATTCGAAGAGGCCTCGGGAAATATTTATTATAATTTACTTCGCAAGGATCGTGAGACTCTCACAGAGTTCGTAAAAAATCCGAAACAGTTTCTACGTTTCTATTCCCAATAGGAAAGTAGAGAATTCAAACGAGAACAGTTTGAAGATACTTTTCAGCAATTTCTGTTTTTTTTTTCAAAGCGAAAAACAAATGGAAAGTCGACAAGAGTTTTTTTTTTTTTTTTGACGCAAAAATTAATAGTGCTTAGACAAATTGCAAGAATTTCGAAAAAGCAGAGAAATTTCAGCTAAAGAATTTTTTTTTATTACTGTTTAAGATTCCAGATTCGACGAGTGAATTGACGAAGATTCGAAATTGTAGAGCGAATGTTAGCACCGAAGGAAACGAGAGATCTCGGCCCGGAAATGGAATTGCGTCCAGTTTGTTAAAACAGAGCAAAACTCGAGCATGTATATATAGAAAGTGTGGACAGAAAATTTGCAAGGACCTCGAGATACATAAAGTTCCACTGTCAAAACAAATATTCGGAAAGAATGAGAACTGTAGGAAGGATATTACAAAATTCTTAATTTTTTTTCTTTTATTAAAACGAAATCGAGAATGCTCAGACAAACTGCTAGAATTTAGAAAAAAGGCAGAGATTCTTCTTTAAAGATTGATTAAGATTCCAGATTCGAGGAATTGAGTGAATTGAAAGTAACTTGGCGAAGGCAGAAATTTCTCGATTAGAAAAAGAAATAGAAAATAAAATAGAAAAAGAAATCAGAGACAAATCGAATACAATGGAGCCTCTAGTATCAAACGTGTCACTATTTTTCACCATATATTTATTACAATTACTTTTAATTATTTTAACTTTCGCTCCACGTATTCAATGAAAAAAAGAAAAGCAAATTGCAGAGCAGTTGAGCAAGATACACGAATGAAATATTCTTTTATACTCCTTATTCAAAATCGACATATCTTTCTCAATATTTTCAATATGTATCTGAACGATGTTTCATTCGTTTCTCTGATCAATTTCATTTCCTGCTCTAAATGTCAATTTTCATCGCGACTAAACACGGTTTGAAACGTGAGAATTCAAAGTAACGTTAACGATATTAATTGGCAACAAGACCTGCTGTTTTGGTCAGATTGAAGCTGTAATAATAGGTACATTATACACATTGTGTAATAATGACATGAGTATAATATATTGTGCATATTATATTAGACTGAAACACGAGTGAATAATAAATGTAAATGTATATGAAGAACGAAGGGTTCGCGGGAAAAATATCAAGAAAATTTATTTTTTTGATTGTCTCTTCTTTTCTAAATTTTCTGAATCTGTTTCTTTAAATTTAGATTTCGAATTTTTCGACTTCGTATATAGCTGTAAATATTTAAAGTAATATTCAAAGTAAATTATTGTAATATTTAAATACTTTACTGCAAATATTGGTAATATTTGAAGTAAATTATTACAAAAGAATATTTTAAAATAATATATAGTTATAAATGTTAATAATATCTAAAGTAAAGAGAATATTTCAAAATAATATATAGCAAAATTAAATAATAGTGGTAAAATAATATATAATTGTAAATATTGGTAATATTTGAAATAAATTATTATAAGAGACTATTTTAAAATAATATATAGTTGTAAATATTAGTTATATTTAAAGTAAAGAGAATATTTCAAAATAATATATAGCAAAATTAAATAATAGTGGTAAAATAATATATAGCTGTAAATATTGGTAATATTTAAAGTAAATTATTACAAGAGAATATTTTGTGTAGTTATAAATGTTAGTAATATTTAAAGTGAAGAAATAATGTGTAGTTATAAA